GACTATCAATCAATAAATATGTGTAAATTTGATGTATATATGATAATATATATAAACATATAATAAGACGTATTTTAAAAATAGAAAACGTTTAAAACGCGTACGTATCTGTATCCGTATCGTTTAATATGCATAGTAAGCCGTATTTTATAAAATTCTAACGTATTATACACGAACGTACGTTTTTACGTATTATACGTTTGCCGTATATTACTAACTATGCTTATTAGTCATAATAGGAACTGTTTTCTTGAACGGGGTGAGTATAAAATATTCATGTTGCATCTTGTTTTATAGAACTTTAGATTTATATTTTAAATATGTAATTTAATTTGTACTTTATATTTATATATCAATTTATAGATAAAATTATTTTTAAAACGGTACTTCGTATGATTTTGTATGTTGTTCAAAGAGTATAAATGAATTAAGGATGAAGTGAGTAAAATGTATGAAGTATGAATATGTTTAGGAAAAATAGAAATGATATAATAATCACATATTTTATTATCAAAAAATAAAAAGAAGATTATTCTATGATGAGTGGAAAAACTATAACTTTATTTATTTAGAAATGGTAGATTTTAAGATGGAGAAAGAACTACTGGATTGGAATATAAAACACTTGGGTTGAAGCCGTTGAACCACATTAAAAGATTAATCGAATCTGATACCATGATAGAATATAAGATGGAGAAATAGTTACTGAATTGGGATATAATATACTTTGGTTGAACCGCATTAAACGATTGAATTTAATCGATTACTTAGTTCGAATAAAAATATTATATATCGATTACTTTTCTTTTCAATTTTCGATATGATGTAGGATACTTTAACAAAAATGAAACGAATGATGCACCACATAGTCACATACGAAGTATACATTAATAAAAAATGAGAAACGCAAAGAGTCACAACAGAAATTAAGAGTCCTAAAATATACTCCGTATATGAAGTATAAAATTCTCTTTTTAATTATTTAAAGAGTAAATTCCATAAAAGGTCCCCAGTTATAGGTCGTTTTACATATTTAGTCCCTACATATCAAATATTACTAATTTGGTCCCCAATTATTATATTTATTTCTACAAATGGTCCTTTGTTAACATTTTCATTAAAACGTGGATAAAATTATAAATTCACACTCCTTTCTTTCCTCAATTAAGCTTTCTCCTCCCTTGTACTCCTTTCTCAAACCCGTCGCTGAGTTTCTAGCATTGAACCCTAAACCAAAATCATCACTCTTCTCTCAATTGTTTGTGTAACTGGAGGAACGATCATTTAAATTTTGGGTTTTAGAGCTTCAAACTCAGCGACGAGTTTGGGAAAGAGTATGAGAAGATGAAGAAAGCTTAATTGAGGAGAGAGAGAAGTATGAATATACAATTTTATCCACGTTCTTAACGGAAATGTTAACAAAGGACCATTCGGGGAAATGAATATAATAATTGGGGACTAAATTAGTAATATTTGATATATAGGGACTAAATATGTAAAACGACCTATAACTGGGGACATTTTATATAATTTACTCTTATTTAAAATATGTTGTTATTTTGATAAATGTACATAAATAGTAAAAAAAGGATAAGCCTCATCCCGAGGGTCCCACAAATCCAGCCGAACGGTCACTGGAAGAAGGTAGATTAGATTTTGATCGCAGATTGGTGGCAAAGAGTGAAGCTTGCAGCTCATACTTGCAGAGGCCTCATGCTTATATAGCATATATGCCTACCAGCGCAGTTGGCAGGAATCAAACTCATGTTTTTCTTCCTTGACACTTCTTGTCTTGCCAACTGCGCAACGCTCATCGACATGTACATAAATACTCCCTCCGTCCCGGAATATTCGTCCAGTTTTGACTTTTGGAACTGTTCATCTAAGCAATTTGACTCATCAAATTCTATCAATGTGTAAGCCTAAATATAGTCATGTGTGATTATTAATATATACTACCTCCGCCCCCGAGTACTTGTCCACTTTCATTTTTACACACTATCCAATACACTTCTTTAATCCATTTTATCTTGTAATTTGTATATTAAAAAATTATAGAAATTATATATTACTAATCTATATGTTAAGACAAATCAAACAAGATCACACATGACTATATTTTGGCTTACACATTGAGAGAATTTGATGAGTCAAAGTGCTTAGATGAACAGTTCCAAAAGTCAAAACTGGACGAATACTCCGGGATGGAGGGAGTAATTTCTATAATTTTTTAATATACAAATTACAAGATAAAATGGATTAAAGAAGTGTATTGGATGGTGTGTAAAAATGAAAGTGGACAAATACTCTGGGACGTTGGTAGTAATATGGAGTAAGATTGTATATTTTGTCTTTAGACATTTTATACTCCATTCGTCCCAAAATGGATATCACTGTCACTATTACGGACTGTTGATAACTTTTGTTTGTTTGTATATTTTTACTGATAATTTGATAAAATAAAATATTTTTGTCAACTCTTTTTTTATAGAGTTTTAATTTTTTTTATTTTTATGTTAATTTATAATTAAAATGATTTTAAAAATGATGAAATTTCACGCGTTGCTAGGAGTAATAAAAAAAGGATTGTGTAATAAGGAACATGTGTAAGTCATTTAGGTAAAAAACGGACGTTTGTGTTCCAAGAAAAACAAAAGATTTATGTTATGAACATTGTGACCTATGCACAACGCTGGCCACAGTGGTTTATGAACTGTATGCTTTCATGTGGAGTCATAAGATCATAAATACGGAGTAATTGAAATGTACATAAAAAAGTGTACAAAATTTGGTGAAGAATTGTTCATTCAATTCTATTTCAACTATTTTCAATAGGATAGAAGGCAAAAACGATTTTAGAACTCAAAAACAGACATCCATTATTTATTTACTCCGTATTTATGATCTTATGACTCCACATGAAAGCATACAGTTCATAAACCACTGTGGCCAGCGTTGTGCATAGGTCACAATGTTCATAACATAAATCTTTTGTTTTTCTTGGAACACAAACGTCCGTTTTTTACCTAAATGACTTACACATGTTCCTTATCACTCCTACATGATGATGCAATAAAATTTTGTACACTTTTTTATGTACATTTCAATTACTCGTATTTAGGATTTTTCTATAATTTATTTTATTATTACTCCGGCATAATGTCCTTAAATAATCTTCAATCATTCACTCTCTATGGAATCAAAGCACGGAGTATATTTTATTTACGGCGTATTTGTTTAGTTTAATTTATTTGTTAATATAATAATTCCTCCGCTTCAAAAAAATATTTCTACTTTCACTTTCCATCAATTTAAAAAAAACATTTCTAGTTTTCAATAAAATTTTGCTTTTATTCATACTAATTATTTATCTAGCTTACACATCACATCAATTTAATGTTACTAATCTATCATCATATCATATCCTAATAAATAATAAAGTAAGAACAAAATTAAAAAGTAATATCAAAATTACACATTCCTTAAATCTCACTTTTATCCAAATGAAAAAGTTTTATAGGGTAGATGTAGTATAATTAATCATGTCATTTTGTTTTAAAGAATTTATGATATAGTTTTAGGACATGTTAGTTTTCTTTTAAGTTTATACGCGTATTCAAATAAATTGAATTAAAAATAATGATATAGAGATGATTATTAGAAGATGGAAGGAAAAAAATGAAAATAAAAATATGATGAAAAAAATTGCCTGCTGCCCAAATTAGATCAAGATGATGTTCATTTAGGTGGAGACAGTCAATGGAATTTGGGGAGAGTTGTTAAAATTAGATGTTTTTTATAATTGTATATTGCTTAACGCAAGAAACAAAATGCCTTGAACACTATTTTCTTGACCTGCTAACAACCAATATACGGAGTGCTTATTAATATTTTACTCCGTAGTTCGTAATTTCTAGGAAAGTTTATATTACTTTCTCCATTCACCAAAACAGTTCCTATAATTAGTTTTCTAATTTTGTCATTGAGTTAGATGTAATATGTAAAATACTAGTAAAAAATATGATATGATAAATAAAGTAAAAATTAATAATAGTAAAAGTAATTTTTGAATTAAAAATAGAAGTGTTTTCCTGAAAGAGGATATACAAATAAAAGAGAAAATATTTTAAAGAAATGTATGGAGTATTATAGATAGGCTACCTTCTAAAATTAGAATGGATTTTGATACATTTACTCCGTATTTGTTATCCAAACTTTCTCAATTATATCCAAACTTTCTCAATTAAGAATGACATTGAATAATGAGACAAATCAAAAAAAACAATTCAATCAATATACTATGGAGTAGTGCCGAGTATATATTAAATGATTAGAGTAATTTCCATGAATGATCCCTAATTACATATGATTTTCTATATTTAGTCATCAATTCTTATATTTTTATATATCAATTATCCTCAATTTTGAAAACTATTTCATAATCAGTTCTTCAGAAACTATTTGTGAAAAAAATATTTTCTCATATTTGGCCTAAAGAACTATTTATGAAACAGTTTTCTAAAATTGAAGACCATTTATAGAATATCTAAAAAACGAAAAGTAAATATGAAAACTACTTGTAATTGGATATCATTTATGAAATTTACTCTTTTAATTAAAATTACTTTCATTCCCAAAATTAATTGTTTAACAAGTCAAAATTAAATTTTAGGAAAATAAAGAAATTTTTTTTGAAAAATTGTGTGGTGTTAGAATGATTAATGAAGCAAATATATATTACTCCATGCACGCTATTATTTTTCATCCGGTCATCTTAAAACAAAGCTTACACTATATTTGTCTCATACGGAGTATAATGTAATACTAATAGTCTAATACTAATAGTTTCGATATACAAAAAAAATATTGAGTTTCGATATAAATATAAGGAGAATTTACTTAAATAGCACTAAAACATAATGACTTTTTCTAAATAGCACCATATGTGTTTTTCTTCCTAATGTAGCACTTTTAGGGGCTGTTAGGTAACTTCTGAATAGGTAAGTGCTGAACCAGTAAGAGGTCTGAACCATTAAGTGCTGAACCAGTAAGAGGTCTGAACCATTAAGAGCTAGTATATTGCTTAACTATTCAGAGGCAAATGTCTGATCAATTCAGATAAGAGCTCTTAACCATTCAGACTCTGTATAATACTTAACCTTTCAGAGGCAAATCTCTTAACCATTCAGACATCTGAACCATTAAGAGGCTGAAACAAACAGTCTGAACCATTAAGTGCTGAATCATTCAGACATCTGAACTATTAAAAGGCTGAAACAAACAGCCTCTTAGTCATTATGCATTCGTCATTATTCAAGTAAATATTCACCATCACTGGATATATAGGCAATAAAACAATTTAAGTGTTATTTAGAGAAATGATTTAAGTTTTAGTGCTATTTAGTGCAAATATTTCTAAATAATACAGAGTATAATATTAATAGTTTCTTATTGGAACATAGCTTTGAAATACTCCGTTTTAAAATTTTACTTCCTCTATTCCTTAAAAATTTTCAACTTTCACATCTTATTTGTCCCATAAAATATTTTAATTATTTGGGCTAAATGGACATCATTACCTTTACATTTCTTAAATTTAAACAAATATATCTCAACTACCTTCTACGCCCTACTCATTTTAATGTTTCTCGAGTCTTCATTTCAATTGTCGTCGTTTCATCTTGGTCAAACATTAACGGTTTTCTCTCCCAAAAGTCAAAACAGAAAATGTTTTACGGGACGCAAGAAGTATAAAATATATGCATGTACAATATCGATATTAATTGTAAAAAAATTACTCGCTCCGTCTCACAAAACGTATCTCCTTTCTTTTTTTAATTCATCCCAAAAAACTTTTTTCAAAGTTATAATTAAAAAGTCATTTTTATCGATATTAATTCTTAACCAATATATCACATAAAACATTTTTAGTATTAATTAACTCAGCAAACATACATAGTAGTTTTCAAATATCAAATTTGTATAAAGTATTTATAGTGGTCAAAGTGTGATGTTAGAGACGGTAAAAACTATCCAATGGAAAAAATATTAGTGGATGAAGAATGTACTCCGGATATCATTAAAAAATGAAATAGAACAGTCTCACTCTCGTACGTAGTCCCCGTATATATATACTTCAAGCCAATTCAGGCCGATAAACTGTATGTATACGATAATCTATACATATAAATGTATACCGATCGATTATGAGCTCGTCTTCAGGAAGCAGCAGCAGCAATGGGGCGGCGGCGGCGGGGGTGGGGCCGTGTGGGGCGTGCAAGTTCTTGCGGAGGAAATGCGTGGCGGGGTGCGTATTCGCGCCATACTTCGACCCGGAGCAGGGACCCGCCGTGTTCGCCGCCGTCCACAGGGTGTTCGGAGCCAGCAACGTTTCGAAGCTCCTCAGCCACCTCCCGCCCCACAACCGCCTCCACGCCGTCCTCACCGTCTGCTTCGAGGCTCAGGCCCGCCTCCGTGACCCTGTCTACGGCTGTGTCTCTCACATCTTTGCCTACCAGCAGCAGGTAGCTCTTTGCCTACGGTTGTATTATATAGTACTCCTTCCCTCCCATAAAGAAGTTCCCATTTTGACCATAAATTGGTCAAACTGTTGCATACTTTGACCTTAAATTAAATATAATCTAAATAAAGAAATGTTAAAGAAATTTGAGATATCAAAACTAGATCTTAAGATGAATCCAATTATATAAAATTTATTTCATAATTCAATATAGCTTTCTCACTATTTGTAGTCAAAGCATGTAAATATTTGACTAAATATTATTCAAAATGGAAATTTTTTTGTGGGACGGAGGGAGTACTATATGGACCATTAATTATTGCTCGATCGATCTATTCATGGGAAGTTAATTTTTTCATCCAAATCTTTTTCTCTTCTTTTTCCCACTATATACTCCCTCCGTCCCATTTTATAACGCCTGTTTCGGTTTACGATGTTTGACTGAAGTTATTTTCAAATCATTTTATATGACAAATGGTATAGAATTAAAAAATAAAAATTACATATCAAAATACTACATCAAAAGATCTACAAAACTAGTAGTGACAACAATATTTTATTTTATCAATTTGCTAACGAAAATAGAGAAAGAAAGTGAATAAAGTTTGACCCTGTGAATAGTAAACAGGCATTATAATTTGGGACGGAGGGAGTACTATTCAACCTTTCTTTCTTCTCACTATTTTTCTTATTATTTTCTATTAATCCCAACTTTAATTTTTTTTCTTTTTATTTTCTCACCATTTCCTTTCCTCTCATTTTATTTTATATTCCGTCCTAAAATTAACTTCACAATTTGATTTTTGCAGTCAAATTTTTTAAACTTTGACTGCATGTTATGGAAAAAGTATATTCAAATTTCAAGACATGAAAAATAAAGATAATGATAGTCAAAGTATTGCATTAAAGATCGTAAAAAGTCAAGTATGAAATTAATTTTAGAACGGATGGAGTACTTTCTTTCCTCTCATTTTCTCTCATCATCCAAACAAACCATTAATTACACTATACTACCTCCATCCCATTGTCTTTGTCCAGTTTTGACTTTTGGAACTGTTCATCTAAGCACATTGACTCATCAAATTCTCTCAATGTGTAAGCCTAAAAATAGTCATGTGTGATCTTGTTTGATTCGTCTTAACATATAGATTATTAATATATAATTTTTATAATTTTTTAATATACAAATTAGAAGATAAAATGGATTAAAGAAGTGCATTGGATGGTGTGCCAAAAGGTAAGTGGACAAAGACAGTGTGACGGAGGGAATATTTGGTTCAAAGAATTTGAGAAGTGAAGGAAAACATTTTTCTATGTTTGGTTAGATAAAAAGAAAAGAAAAATGGAAGTAAAAGAAAATAAGAAGGTAAAATGTACAAAGAAGAGAAAATCAAATTCCTTCCTTTTTTAGTGAGGAAAATAAGAAAACACCTATTTTTTCTTTTTCTTCCAAATTTCTTTAACCAAACATAATGATAATGATTTCATTTGAGGAGTAAAAAATAGAAGGTCTTATTTTGATATATATTTAAAATTTGGGTGTTGTTAAATCCACCTTCTTTGACTAAATCTACACTTTTATTAAAAATAGACAAATTAATCTTTGAAGTGTTAAAATATAAAAATGCAATAATATACAGACCAACTTAAAGATAACATTAGACATTTATCACAATAGAAATGCTAAAGTCATAAACAAATACTCCCTCCGTCCCAGAAAACTTTTTTCCTTTCTTTTTTCATCCGTCCCAAAAAACACTTCTCATTTCTATTAAAAAGTCACTTTTACCATTTACTTTTTCATACCCTATCTATCACATCATACCTTTTTACTAATAATGTATCCATTAAATCATACTTTTACCCATCACATCAAAGGACATTTTTGGAAATTCAATACCAAAATACACTCCCCTTATATCCCTCTTCAAAATCAAAACTCCCATGTTTTCCGGGACGGAGGGAGTAGTTCACTGACTTCAAAAACTTGTCTTTTCTGTATTTTAAATTAAAATATTTTTTATTATTTGAGTGCATCTTATTTCTAACAAAATATAAAATGACAAATTTGTGAATTTTGGGAAATATTTGTTTATGACTCTAGCATTACTTTTATATCAACTTTTAATCCTACACTCTATTAAAAATTACACGAGCAATTGATTAATACAGGTAGCAAACCTACAAGCGGAGCTCTCCTACCTACAAGCCCACATGGAAGCTCTCCAGGTGTCGACACCACCGCCGGCGCCGCCTCAATCAACGTCGGCGGCATACACTATTCCCGACCAGCTCCCCACTGCTCCTGCATGCATCTGCGATCTCTCATCTCTCTTTGACCCGACCGCACAACAGCCGCGCCAAAACTTGGGAGGCGCTGCCACCGGAGATCCGGCCGATTACATGTCATCCTCTTCGTCGTCGTCCACGGCCAATGCCGGAGTCCTTCAAGAGGTGACGCGCCACCTTATGCACAGGCGGCATTAGCTAGCTAGCTATACACCAATCCGATATTCGATGATATTTCAAGTGGGATCTTACATTACCTCTCGAGTCTAAAAAAGATTATTATAATTTGACTTTTTTATCAAATTATATATTTAATTATGATGTAAATTTAATAAAATTGAATATAAAATCATATTTAAATTGAGGTCAAACTACGTACTACTCCCTCCGTTCTAAAAAAGAGTTCCTAGTTTGATTAAGTGTAAAAATAAGAAAATGTTAAATTATACTCCCTCCGTCCTATAATGTTCTTCCCACACACTTTTTACGCGGTCAAACTTTAATCACTTTTTTTACCTATTTTCATTAGGTAAATGATAAAATAATATAGTCTTGTCACCATTTGTTTTGTAGAACTTTTGATCTAGTTTTTAAATATATAAATTTTAATTTTTAATTTTACACCTACAACCAAATAAATTGATTTGAAAATAAAGTCGGTCAAACTTCGTAAAATGAACCGGAAAGATCATTATAGGACGGAGGGAGTAGTTGACTTCTAATTTTGCCCTTGATGTGATGGGTAAAAGTAAGATATGATGGATAGATTATTAGAGAAAAGGTATGATGTGATAGGTAGAGTATTAAAAAGTAAGGGTAAAAGTAGTTTTTTAATAGAAAGTGGAAATGTTTTATTGAAAGTGAAAAAAATGAAAGGAGAAGTGTTTTTGAGAACGGATGGAGTATATAATTTGACAAAAAAAGTCAAATTTAAAGATATTATCTGGAGGGAGAAAGTATTATTCAATTCGATATCTATCGAGGAGGTGCTTATTAATATGTACAATTTACTTAAATAGGACTTAAACATATCACTTTTCTCCAAATAGGATTGGTCTTAGGTTATTTATTCTAACATTGACAATGGAAAGTTCTAAAACTTACTTTTGAAAATGTGAACATCCAAAATGATTATAAATTAATATTAATAATATAATGTCCTCTCTTGATAAATGAACAAATTGAATAGTCATTATTCAACACTTGTTGCTAATGACTCATATTCATAGAGTCATTCGTATAGTCAGTCATTACCCAACATTTATTGCTAATGAAAGAATATATGACAAATCATATAAAAATATGTAGAAGAAACAAAACATATTTGGACAATGTTCTCTTCACATGATGAGCTAAGAGGTTCTAATCTGATTTGAATAAGTTATGATCTGAATATAGTTATATTTAAAGGTTTTTCTGATCTCATCAGGTCTGATATGATTCCAATAAGAAAAAGTAATGAGTAATAAAAATAAGTTGAAGAGAATACGACCCTAGTCCTATTCAGGAAATTGCATTACCTTTTAGTCTTATATTGAACAATTTTTTCTACTCCCTTCGGTCTTAAAAATCTTTCATGTTTTGGTTTTTTATCAAACAGTGACACTTTTTTACCATAAATTAAACATAATCTAAATAAACAAATGATATAGAAATTTGATATATCAAAACTATATCCTAAGATGAATCCAATTATATTGAATTTATATTATTATTAATTATATTTTTCTTATAATTTATGGTCAAAGAGTATCACTCTTTGACCAAAAAATTCAAAACGATAATTGAGAGAATTTTAAGGTCGGAGGGAGTTTTAATCAATATTATAAACCGTCTTGGACTTTAGTTTTATCGTGCTTTTAAGTTCTATCTCATCATTTGTATTTATAAAATGTGGTATTAGGCTGTGTTCCGTTCGCCTGATCTGATCTGATCTGATTTTTTGAAGATCTAATATGATCTAATTTGGTCTGATCTAGTCTGATCTGATCTAATCTGATTGCAGTTATATTTAAAGCTGTTTCGAATCTGATCTGATCTGAATGTAATAAAAATAAGTAAGAAGTAAAAAAATAAGTTGAACGGAACGCTGCCTTAGTGTTGCTAGCTCCCTCCGTTATAAAATACTCCATCCGTTCACAAATTATCTTCTCATTCACTATTCACATGTCAAACTTTATTCACTTTGATGGGCTATTTTCATTGCTCATTTGATAATATAATATAATAATGTCACCTCTAGTTTCGTAGGTCTTTTGATGTTGTTTTTAAATATGTAATTTTTGTTTTTTAATTTCACGCCATTTTTCATATAAAATGATTTTTAAAACAACTCCAATCAAACATATAGCATCGTAACGCGTAATGGGAAGATAATTGTTGGATGGAGGGAGTAATCATTACAATTCGAACAATATATAAATTTTATCACTTTTAAAACTATTTTAGTTATCAACTAATATAGAAATAAAAAATACAAAGTACATTTTTAAAACTAGTTCAAAAATTCTACGGAGTATAAAACAACTTTTAATAACTATATTTTATTTTATCCAATATTTGATAATAAAAATATACATAAATAAGTAAGTCTAAGACCACTATTTTAGGATGGAAAGAGTATGAACTTTAGGTGACTAAATTCCATGCAGAATTTCTCATCCATCATAGATATAAATAAATATTTAAATGTTAAATCCATTTTTTGTCCCTGTAAAATTAGCGATGAAAAAAGACACGCTTTATATAAAATCTATAATTTTGGTATTATTTTCTAATTATGACTCATCTAACTTATACATCGTATTCCATCTTATCATCATAATAATAAGGGAATATTAAAACATTATATAAAAAATTCACATTTTTGTAGTCGTCTTTAAAAAGTATTGTGGGACAGATGAAGTAATTTTCATTTCCCGAGCCAAACTTTTTTATTAAAAGTGTTAGAATATAAGAAATATTTCTCGGGCCACAACCACAAACTTGAGCTTTTGGTTGAGTTAGTTCCTTGACATAGTATCAGAACCTTGTTGACTAAGAGGTCACAAGTTCAAAACTAATTATCAGCGCTACATACCCAGTTTTAAAAAAATTAAATTTTCACGTGCAAGATCCGAAAAAGACTACACCTGTAAGTGAGGGGGCGTGTTAGCTAGAATATAAGAAGTACTTCCCGAGTCACAATCATAAACTAGAGCATTTGGTTGAGTTAGTTCTTTGACAGAAAATTATTAATTTTGATTTTTTTTGTTGAGTTTGTATTTTGTAATAATGTAGTTATAGCGTCCCCTGCTCGAAATGCATATGGAACTATCACTTTAACGTATAGCCGGTATAGGGGTTATTTTCATTTAATTAAAAGGCAACCTAAATTAGCTCACATTAAAGTCAAAGTTTTAAATGCTCTTAACTAGACCGGAGGCAAGGAAACTCGTGCGACGTTTTATATTTTCTTTTCTCTAAATTTCAAACTGCTTAGACTTGAGTTCATAAATATGAAACAAAATATTACAGCAAACAATCACAATACATTTTTGAACTTTATTTAGAGAAGATTGAAAAATCTTGTGCCGCAAATTCTGTTCTTTAGAAAAATATTCATAAACAATCTACTTGTACAATATTTAGGGGGTGTATTCAATCAGGATTCTGATGGTTTTTTTTGGATTTTAAAAATCTGTAGATATTCAATTCAGATTTTAAAAAGTCATTTAAAATCTGAATATATTTAATTGAGATTTTAAAAAGTCCTTCTAAATATGATAGTATTCAAAAAGTTGATAGATTTTTAAAGATTTTTAAAAATATAGATTTTGATGGATTTTTTAAGCATTGGGTATAATTAAATATAAATCCATTCCCAAATTAGAAATCATCCTAAATAAGACTAAAACATAGAGAAAAGTACAAAAATAGGACTTTCATGTTTTTTTTTCCCGGAATAGGACATTGCGCTGTGGTAATGTGACTTTGCATTGTGGTAATGTGGCAGTATACATGTGCAGATTACTATACTTTTTTGGTAATGTATATGACCATGTTTGGTAATGTAAGTCCTATTTTGGGAATAAAAACATAGAAGTCCTATTTTGGTATGTTTTCAATGTTTTAGTCCTACTTTGGTCTTTCTCCCTTCCCAAATCTCACCCAAAAACCAAAGATTTTATAAACTCTTCCTCCTTCTACTTCTTCTTCGGCCGTCTTCTTCTTCTTCGGCCTTCTTCTTCATCCGACCTTCTTCTTCTTCCTATCATCATAGAGTTATAAATCTATGAATGCTATGATGAGAGGAACACCAATTGGTGTCGATGGGCAGTGGGTAAAAGTGGGAGTTGTCTAAACAATTCCTTCTCCGTGAGCCTTATTATGAAAACGACTTCTCTTTCCTCTGAGCATTTTTTTGCTTGAAGATTTTCACTATTTTTTTATATTTATTTGATTTTAGATCTGGTTTCTAAGAATTTTTGGGGTTATGGGAAGGAAAACAGCGTCTATTACCAAGAATAGTAATAATTATCTCTATTATGATAGTCTTTGTGTTTTAGTCAACATATGCACTTTTAAGCCGTCACATAACGAAGATCTGTCTCTTTACTTTTAGCAGCCACAGCGAGGCGCTATCTGTGGTTCCACACTCATGTTTCCTACAAGCTTCCACTTGTGACACGAGTTCAACTAAAGAAGAGATGTTAGACAATAATATTAAGTATTCTTATTTATGGTCGATATTGTATTTTAATTAGTTTTTTATCTCTATTTTTAATTGTGTTAAGAGTCTCTCATATATATATTCTACCATGTACTTCATTGTCCGTTGCAATTTTGAATTCGGTGACCAAAATATAGTGTTTTTGCGACAGAAATGGTGTTTCGCAATTTGCACGAAATTTTGAGTGATTTGGCTCGTTCCCAAGCCCGTTTCTTGATGATCCAGAACATTATCGACGCTTAGTGGGGCGTCTAGTTTGTTTGTATGTCACTCGCTCAGAGTTGTCCTATGTTGTGCATACTTTGGCACAACTTTTTAAGGAACCACGAGGGGATCAGTGGACTGCTGCCCTGGGACTTGTTCGGCATTTGAAAGGGTGTCCATGTTGTGGTATTATCCTTAGGAGTGAGCATGGTACGACATAGTATGATATTTAATTAGGCCGTACCAATACTGTACTAAATAATTCGATTCGGTAAAAATCTAATGGTATTAAATAATTTATAGATTTTGAAGGATTTTTCTTTTGTGTGGATTTTGATGGATTCCAAGGTTATTTTTCGAGAAGAAAATCATTTTACAAATCTATGACAAATCCAAGGATTTTAACGGATTTGGCTATCCCCTTTCGACTGGTTGTTGTGGCTACGAAGTGGATTTGATGAACTTACAATTTCTTCTTGAATTGCGACCCCAAACTAACAAGTATGTGATACAATTTCATAATAATTAGTCTTACTGAATAATATAATGGAGGATATATATAGGATTATAAGAGAGAATTCTAATCTCAGTAGAATAGATATAATGGTAAAAATATAATAAGAAAATAATAAAAATAAGGAAACAATAAAATAACAAAGGTAATAAATAATAATAATTTATTTTCTAACACATATATTATCCGTACTATCCTCCCGCAAGATGATCATCGGGAATGAGGAGTAGCTTGGAGCACATGTACTGAAATTGAGCCGGCGCCCGGCGGAAGCAGTTTCGTGAGGATGACATCTAGAAGCAGAGAGCCAAATCTTCGTTGAATGACGAACGAGCTTAAAATTATGTTTATTTGGCGATTTTTTTCCGGGTGAGATCAGAGTATTGGCAATTGGAGCGAGGGCGAGGAGTTTCTCTATCGCATTTCCATGCTCTCGATCACACGCATGATTTTTTAGAAGAAGGATAATGGGCGTCGGCTGTTAGGCACGATGGCACTCTTAGACACGCACATGATTTTTTTAACAAGGAGAAACTCTTACTCCGTTGCAATGATACAATTTGATAATAATTGGTCTTATTGAATAACAAAAGATACATCCATATATAAGAGAGAATTCTAATATTAGTAGAATAAGAATTATGGTAACAATAATCGGTCAGGTTCTAGTGACACTGGAGTAAGGTGCCACTCCGGTGCCACTGGCATTTTGAGGCACCTCCGGTGCTCCAAAAACCCAGTGGCACTGCTAGTGACACCAAACTCCGGTGTCACTAGAACCCCATCGAACAATAATAAAGTAACAATAAAATAAAAAATGTACTCCGTAATAAATACTCCCTCCATCCGGAAATAATCTTCCCACTCTACGTTTTTTTTCGTCCGGAAATAATCTTCCCACTCTACGTTTTTATCAACACTCTTCCAATAATACCTTCTTCTCCCTCACCATTTCTTCTTCCCCATTTCTCCTTCCCTACGGCCAAATCCGGCCGTATCTTCATCACTCTCTCTCCCTTCCCCTTGATTTTCTTTTTTCTTCGCTTTCTTTTCTCAGCCGCCATTTTCTTTCATTTCCTGCTCCCCTTCTTCTTCTTCTTCTCTTTCTCTTTCTCTTTCTCCTTCTCCTTCTCTTCCTCCTCTTCCTCCTCCTCCTCCTCCTTCTTCTTCTTCTTCTTCTTCTTCTTCTTCTTCTTCTTCTTCTTCTTCTTCTTCTTCTTCTTTTTCTTCTTCTTCTAGATCTGTGGGTGGTGGAGTAGTGATAAGGCTGAGGCAGTGAATGGGCGGCGATGGCGCCGGTGCGAGGTGGGGCGGCAGTGGGTCAGGGATAACGGTGGGGTGGTGGCCCGGTCGGGCTGGGGCGTCGCTGGCGAGGGGCGGAGGTGGGGTTGGTAGGAAAGATAGTGGGGCAGAAGAAAATAGAAGGATAATTTGGACATTTCAATGATGTA